AAATTCTGATGCTTGTACTGTAAATCAGTGAGAGCTTTATAACAGTACAGCAGATACTGACATAAAATGATATAAATATCAGTCGTCGCTCTATATCTCCAATAATGTGTCTTAGTAAGATGAGATTTAAGATTTAAATGATCAGATTTGAGACTCTAAAACATGATGTCTGGAGAATCAAGTAAAGCTGAGCTGCTTCAGTCCAGTAAGTGTTCACCTGGAGATATTACTGCAGTTATTCTGACGCTTACTTGATAAAAACCAGTCAAGATCTGACTACAGTTACACTAAAAGAGCTTTTACTGGATAAAAACTCGAAACTATCAATCAGAGACAGAAGAACTGATTTCATCACTAAAAAGCACAAAAACAGCATCTGATTCAAAACACATTGAGGTTTCAAAATGAAGAAATGTGACATTTATAAGTGTGACTGAAGTGAACTGCTCTTTTGGGCTGCTGTATTTCTGCCATCATTGTACATTTTACACAAACACATTTGCACTTCAGTGTTCAAAATACAATCTATGAGTGCATTTAGTTCAATATTTATAGGGTTTGATTTGAAAACCGATTCATGTTCAGAGGTACAGTACGTTGAACATTGAATGTTTTGAATCACTTTCATCACACTGAGAATGTAAGTCATGATTTAGTCCATCTGTAGGCTGAATGGATGTAAATTCATGTGCGTTTTGTAACGCTGTACAAATAAACAAATGAAATGTGAGAAATTGTAAAGAAGTGTGCTTGTGTTTATAGCTTTAGTTTTGATGGTAGAGCTCATGAAACCTGTCCGGGTAATATTTTACATGAAAATCAAAATAAAGAAATAAGAAATTTATGTTTTGCATAATAAAAATGAAGCCTACTTTAGGAGCATTACTTAATTTTTTGTATGCATGCATATAGTGTATATATATATATATATATATATATACACTCTCAGAAAAAAAGGTACAAAAGCTGTCACTGGGGCGGTACCTTTTCAAAAGGCACACTTTTGTACCTAAAGAGTCCATATTGTTACCTTAAAAGGTATATATAAGTACCTAAAGTGTAGATATTAGTACCTAAAAGGTACAGAAGTGTACCTTTAGAAAAGGTACTGCCCCAGTGACAGCTTTTGTACCCATTATATCCCAATCCCAATTGTTTTGGGAGTTTTGTTTTGTATTATAAAACTGAAAAAATGATCCAATGCAAATATTTCAAATTCCAAAGAACTTTATTTGCATAATTAATCATCTCCCCCACACAACATCTCTACTTTTTAAAGCACATTTAGCACCCATTTGAATATGCTATTTTACGGGGCTCATAAAAAAAAAGCTACTTTATCAGGCATTATAAGCAGGTAAGATAAAATGAAAATGCCATCGATGCTTTTCTGAAGACAGTCGGTTCCCTTCAGACATACATTCACATAAACACATCGCGTTTTGCACTTTGAAATATTCAGCGCTCATATTTATTCAATGAAATCATATCCTTTTGAAGCTTCATCCAGCCATATTGCGATTTTGGACAAATTTGTGCAAATCTATTTGTGGCGGTCACTGTTTATATTGTGGCTGCCACCACAAATAATTCAATGTAGCAATGTGCAATGACCCTGGAGCACAAAAGCAGTGTTAAGTCGCTGGGGTATATTTGTAGCAATAGCCAAAAATACATTGTATGGGTCAAAATTATTGATTTTTCTTTTATGCCAAAAATCATTAGGATATTAAGTAAAGATCATGTTCCATGAAGATATTTTGTAAGTGTCCTACTGTAAATATATCAAAACTTAATTTTTGATTAGTAATATGCATTGCTAAGGACTTCATTTGGACAACTTTAAAGATGATTTTCTCAATATTTAGATTTTTTTGCACCCTCAGATTCCAGATTTTCAAAATAGTTCCATCTCTGCCAAATATTGTTCTATCCTAACAAACCACACATCAATGGAAAGCTTATTTATTCATCTTTCAGATGATGCATAAA